TCAAAGTTGGATGAATTCTTCTATTGTTTTCTATGCTTTGAAGATTTTGTGTATTGTTTCTTCCTTGTTTGGAATAATTCACTAGTGAAACAATATGCACTTGAGATTTTTATTTTTATGGAAAGATTTTTAATAACAATCGATTTCTTTAATAGCTATGAGGCTATCTGTATTTTGTATCTTTTTCCAGCATTGGTACTTCATATTTTTCAGGAAATATTTGTGTTGTATATATTAGCATAAAGTTTTTCATAATATCCTCTTACTGGTGTCTAAAAATTCTAGAGTAATTTATGTTTTCTTTTTTTATATTAATTAGTCTTTCTAGGGATTTATCAATTGTATTAATCTTTTCAATGAACCATTGTTGGCTTTGTTGATTTTTCCCTATTGTATGCTTGCTTTCTATTTCATTGTTTTGCAGTTTTCTCTAGCTTCTAGAGGTCTAAACTTGAATCATTGACTTGTTTTCAGCTTCTCTTCTATTAGTATTCTTCTAATACAGGCAATCTTAGCTTTGCAAGATAAATTCATGCATACAGGAAAATGGAATGTGGGAATTACCAGCATATGCCATTAAGGCTAAAGTAAAGTTTCTTTAAATCCTGCTTTATCTGTGTCCTACAAGTTCTGATATGTATCTTCTTTAGCATTCAGTTCAACGTATTTTCTGGTTTCTGTTTTGCTTTTTTCTTTGACCCATAGATTTAGAAATATCATTTTAAATTTCTAGACAGTGGTTTTTTATGTGTGTGTGATTTGGGTGAAAGTTTACAGAGCAAATTCACTTTCCATACAGCAGTTTACACCATGTTGTCTCATGACATTGACTACAAATTACCCCAATGCAATAGCTCCTCTCCCACTTTCTCCCGATAGTTAACTCTTCCCTGTGTCCATCACTCCATATACTCCTGCCCCCTGAGCTGTCTCCCTGTGCATAAACAGCCCTTCTATCTCCCATGATTGTTTTCTCCAAGGAGTGTATCTACCTCAGGTACATGTTCAACTCATATGCCTGTCTTTTGTTTGCTGGAAGCCACAGGTGTGGGTTCAATTCCAGACCTGAAGGACAGCTAGGGACCATAGTCTCAGTGGTTCCACCAGGCTCTATCAGATCAGCAAACCTGGTCCCTGTTTTGTTTTTTTTTTCCAAATGCGTTTGAGTTTTGTTCCACATTGTTCTCTCTCTCTATTCAGGATCTCTGACATAGATTCCCCTCCAAGTGCTTGACAGTGGTAGCCAGGCACCGTCTAGTTCTTCTGGTCTTATAGTTGTATAGACTAAGGGTCACATGGTGTACCAGTCATGAGGACTAATTGTTTCCATGAATCTTTGGGTTTCTTCATTCTTCTTTGCTCTGGATGAGGAGAGACCCATCGTTGCATCTAGATGGC